ACACTAATGATCAGAGAGCTGTTGTTACTTGGGAGCAGTTCAGGGACATGTTTCGCACCCAATACATTCCACGGGTTGAGCGGGAACGGTTGTCACATGAGTTTTTGAGTTTGAGATAGGATGGGGAGTCGGTGATAGAGATCACCCGCATGTTCAAAAAGAGGGTGATGTTCTGCCTAAAGTTTCTTCCGAGCAGGCTCAGATGACCCGTTATCTGAGCATGCTCAAGACTGACATCCGTCAATTTGTGTCTACCCAACGATGTGATACTCTGTTGGAGTTGCAGGAGGCCGCTAGGCGGCATGAGTTGGAGATTGAGCTGCAATTGGGGGAGCACCGGAAGGCCCCAGCACTGCCGCAGCCAGCACCAAAGCGGTCTAAGACTGCTAATTTTAGGACTGGGGGTCAGCAGAGTCGCACTTGTGGGAAGTGCGGCAAGGGTCATTATGGGATTTGTTGAGCCGGTAGTGGATGCTACAGGTGTGGCAAGGAGGGAAATTATGCGAAGGATTATCGCCAGGCCTTCCCGATTCCGAGTTTGAGGTTATGTTATCACTGTGATCAGGTTGGCCACTTGAAGCCCAACTATCCGTTGCTTGCCACTAAGTCGGCGTAAGTTCCCACGCCGACTACATTGAGGATTTCTGATGGGAGGCCAGTTAAGGCGGAGCCTTCGAAGGCTCAAGGGCGTGCCTTCCGGTTTACAGCAGAGGAGGCCAGGGCAGCACAGGATGTGGTTGCTGGTATGTTCCTATCCTTTATCTCATTTATTATATTTGTTTTATGCTTATCCCTTGTACATGTGATTAGGTACATTTTTAGTGGCCACCCTAGCTTCACTTAGCTTAGAGTCAATAGAGTCAAAAGAACTGAAATTATCATAATATCACGAATTGCCACCCTTACTTAATTTGGGTGAGACCTGAATGATGTGACTCGGATATTACCCAATAAAGGTGCAAAGCTTACATAAGTACTAGAACACCACAATATGCACCACTTCCAACTGAAAAACAAATTTTAGCAAACTATGTTGAGAGAAGTTATACATAATTGACATATATCCAAATATTATTTAATCGGTTACTTAATTATGGGGAAAAGAATTTGATCTTTATAGTTTTATAGACTATGTTGAGTCAAACCCTATGATTTGATAGGTCAAAGGAAACTTATATACTTCAAACTACTTTGATGTTTATTGTCTCTTTGTGTGTTCGTATTGGTGGACTTAATGCATGCTTTTAAAGAGATAACAACGTTAGTTATGACTTTTGCACAACAAGTTGAGATGCTGATACTTTTTAATTAAGATCAACTATTACTCAAGTCATGATGGAGTTTCCATGTTTCAATAGAAGATTCCTTGATTTTTATGGATTGTATAACATCTCAAAAATCACAACAAATTTTAACTTTTCGAAAACAACAATTCAATCCATATTGTTTACAAAAAACATTGTTTCAAAAGTGTTTCTCAAAAATCAGAGTGTCCCAAAAATCCAAATAACATAAACCGAAGGATGTGCACGATCATGCCTTCGCCTTGCCACGATCCTTAGAAGTACCTGAAAAAAAAAACTAAAATTGTAAGCCAATGCTTAGTGAGTTCCCCCAAAGTATCACCACATAATATAACAAAAAACAACATGCATATAGAACCTTCAGTATGATTGGACCGGCTCACCGGGCCTTCATCCTATCTGGATCGCTCTTTGGGCCTTCAGCCTGACTGGATTGCCTCGTAGGACTTCAGTCTATCTGGACCGCCCTGGGTATCTTGGTCTTCAGTATCAGCTGGTCCGCCTCAACCTAGTAAACCATAGCATATCGATATATAACACTAACAATCAATAACATCAAACACAGGTAGTCCTATAGACCTACCAGTCTAATCACATAACCAGAAACCACATATCTCCGCATAACAACATACGACAATCCAATATATATAATCAAATGGGCCAACCTTGGTGCCTTTGATCCATAAGTACAACGAGGAAAACTCACCTCTCGGTCCGAATATAGTCTGGATAAATCTCTTCTCCGACAACCGGCTCTACCCGACTCCTAATAATCAAAACATTTCCCATTCTAGATTAATAAAAATTTTACAAAATATCCATGGTCAAAATCAGTCAAAATCAACAAATCAACCAAGTCAACCCAGTTGAGTCAGCTCAGCCAAGTCAACTCAATCCTCATACACAATCCGTACTTCGGATGTACATGGAGCGTACCGCTGTCCGAGGATTCGGGGCTCAAACTGCGTACACCCATCATACCAATTAGTACGCCCAACGTACGCAACTGATTCTCCACTTAATGAGTTAAGATCTTATTACTTAAGCTATCACAACCAAATTGCAAATTCAAGTCCCAAATATCATCCTTGACCATAAAGTTTCCAAGTTTATGGTCTTGTATCGCCAATAAATACTAAATGCTAAAACCCCTCCCACTTAACCCATTAAGACAATCAAACACATGCATGGAAAAGGATTAAGAGCCAAGACCCTATTTTTATGATTCTAAACCCCTCAAAACATCTGAAAGGACAACTAGAATGGACTAGAACAAGCCATACTCCAAAAAGGTTAAGACTTGGGAGAAAATGCTCATGAATCAAGGACTTAGCAAGATCTAAAGCAATATAAGTCATGTTTGAAACTTTATACCTCTTGGAGGTTGCTAGAGAGGTGAAGATCCTAGATCCAAGGCTCCTTCAAGCTTCCAAGATTGTTCTACTTTCTTCTTTCTCCTTCAAGGCCACCAAAAACACATACAAAGGTCAAGAATGCTCAAACAAGTGGCTAGGGTTTTCTAAAATTGAATGGAGGTGTTGGACGCTAATAAGAGATGAGGTTGGAGGCCATAAATATGTTTAAATAGGAACCAAACCCTAAGTTTAGGGTTTGAGAACCTCGCACGTAAGCGTTGCGTACGCGATGTACGCCTTGCGTACTAAACCCTCGCATGTACTCCCTACGTGCACAGCGTACGCCCAGTGTACTAGAGTTCGGTATGAATTACAAAAATATCACTATGGGCCATTTTGTAAGTTTTCTCATACACAAGGCTAAATACCATAAACCTTCATACATAAAGGTTAAATTTGAAAATACCTCATCATCAGGATGTTATAGATTGCATTTAACGTACCTCGTATTTATGTAATGCTAGGGTTTTGTTTATTGTAATGTCTTATGTTTTTACATAGAGTCGATAATTTTCTAATTGAATTTTATGTGAGGGTGTGTTCTTAATCAAAGTATGTTCTATGATTAGCTCTTGTAAATAAAATTGTTATTCATCAATAAAGAATTAGTTTCGAAGTATTATATATTGTTCTTTAACATTATTGTTGTTTGATTGCTTAGTTTGGGACAACAACTAAAGGTGTGTATATATTACAAACACAAGTTTTTGGGAAAACATGTGGTTCAAGGACTCGACTCTTAAAAGTCAATTTCCTTGACTTAATATTTCGGAAATAAATAAGTTGGTGTTGGTTAAAAATCATTATATTTTGAAGTTTTGCCTTCATGTATGTACAAAACACCTCATAGGGGAGTTGAAACTAGTGAATGAGAAATTTGAGATGTATTATTGATTTTACTTTCTTTTCTATTCAGAAAGATAGTTGGAGTTGCTAGTTGGGAGTTGGAGCCAATATGTCTTTTATCTATCACATCACACTTTTTGAAAATACAATTAGTTTTTTTACCCGAACATCATTTTTATAACATAATAATCAAAGTTTAGCAAAATATTTACATAAGTAAAGTGTAACAAAAGTGAAAAACAATTCGTATCAACCGAGTGCAAGTGTTATTGCATACTGTACACATATCAAAATACAAATACAAGTTACATAAGCAAAAATAAAGGGCAGCACGTCCTTGCAACTCCCTATCCTTATGATCACACTATCCCTTTACCCATATCATCCCTATGATTACCTAAATACATAAGAGATAATCATAAGCTTTAAAGCTTAGTGAGAACATACACAAACAATAAGCAACCCTAAAAAAAACGCAATATAAATACATGTGTTAGCGAGACCATATATCGACTAACTAACTTGCGGTAGGTAATCTTAACATAATCATAGCCGAAGGCATTCATCCTCTTCAGAAATATCGTTCTTAATAATGGACTAGGTATTGCTATTAAGACCATGTGTTCAAATTTCTTATTTGGCATCATCCTTGGATGCATACATGAAATCCCCAACATAACTATCGTCAGGGTCATATTTTAATTTCTCCCCGACATCGTCTTCGGGTCATATTTTGTTTCGCTGTCATAATTATCTCCCCATAATAAGCATGTGGTCATATTTTAATGAGACCTGAAATGTGTGTATTAACCTTCGTATAATAAGAACGAGATGTATTATGCCTTTCAAAAAAAAATGTATAGACGCGTAAGACGCACTTTAATTAATTAGATAAAAGAAAAAAACCAAACCATATATAATCGTTCTCGTGGACTTTTTCATCTTCCGGAAATATGTGAACTTCGGGTGACACCATTAGTGAGATTAAGCAAAATTTTGTTAACTTTTTAATGTATCTATGGAATTTGCTATGCAATAATACTCGAGCATTTTCAAAAAACAACAGTTTTGGGTTATTATGGAGAAACTCCCAAAAGGCCAAAACTGCTATTATAAACCCGAAGAAACAGTCAACCTTTTCTTGGTAAGTACTTTGCTTTTTCCTAAAATAGAAAGAAGTTCAACAGCTACATTTCACAAAAAAAGAGACTGCAGTACAAAAATCAAAATTTTATTACGATTTATTTTTTACGTGTTCATTCAGTTGACTGAACCTCTTCTCATATCCTATATTCATTGGGCAACTCGCCTGTTGATGTAAACCAAGATATCGAGTTTCAAAAATTTCGGACTCTCCCAACCTTGTGCTTAGTTTAATCCGAACCCTTTACCTTATGCAGACATTATATAGCATCTTCTTCCATAGCCCACATCGCCTCAATATCTCCCTATTAATTACGACTCCAAACCACTGGTCCTTGGCTAGTGGAACATGGGTTCAACTCGATCCGATCATGGCTCCGGGAAAGAGCGGCTGAAGTGGACTCAAGAACTCCATGATTTGTTTGAAAAAGCAGTTAATCAGCTTGGAGGACCTGATAGTAAGTCAATACGAAGTTTCAGTAGAAAAGAATGAATTTTGGAGAAGCTTTTTTAGTTTTGATGAACATTTATTACGTATAACGTATAACGTACCCTTGTTTTTCTATGATTTTTAGGGGCAACTCCAAAGGGTATATTAAAGGCCATGGGGATAGATGGACTTACTATCTACCATGTTAAAAGCCACTTACAGGTAAATTAAATTAAATACCACTTTTATATACATTGTTTGTATACAAATGAATTGTTTTGTTTACACTAAGTATCCCAAAAATTAAACTATTACTTGGCTTATGTCGTTTTATTTTGTTTTGTAGAAATATAGAATGTCGAAATTTGTTCCCGAAACATCCAGACGTAAGCTTTGTGATTATTACTATAATTTAATTTCTTGGACTTAATTACTAATTTAGAGTTTATGTAATAAACAGGAGACAAGTTTGAGAAAAGAAGCATATCGGAAATATTTCCAAACTTTAGCGTAACATCGTGAGTTGTATATTAATTGTATAACAAGTTTGTTTGTAGTCTTGTTAATTCATAAGGAAACGAGTTTAAAATATATATTATTTTGTAGTGGTGCTCAGTTAAACGAAGCATTACAAATGCAAATGGAAGTTCAAAGGAGATTAAGTGATCAACTTGAGGTACTCTTTTCCCCAATAGAATTTTCTTTTATATGATAAGAACGCCAAAGAAAAGAATCAAATACTTTTGTCTCTGATAAATATCTAAATAGAGGTGTTAATTTATAAATTATCAAAATTAAAACAAGGATCAATATACTAGCATAGATTCCTTTAATTGGATTTAAGAAACATCAAGGTTCTTGGTGGCGATTATTTGGAAAATAAACACTCAAAAAGAATAGTTTAGGTTCGAATTCAATATACATCAAATTTTGTTATTAAAAAAAAAAAAGTTACCACCCATTTACGTGGAAATAAGTACGGGATTTTTTATTGTTTCAAACATGTGAAATATACAATACCCAAGCTAATAATGAAACATTTGTGAGTTATTATCGGATTTTATGTAACAGGTTCAGAAGAACTTGAAGCTGAAGATTGAAGCACAATCGAAATTTCTTGAGAAACTCAGCCAAGAACACAAAAGCCCGATGCCAAATATTACCAAAATCAACAAGGTCATGATCATGTCTCCTACATCCCTACCTTCTCTTTGTGATGTGTCTGAATCGATCATGAAGGATTTGGAATCCGATTCTGAAGTGGACACAAACGAGATGAGACATAAACAATCAAAGAGGAGTAGGATTGATGATGAAGATGATCTTATGGCACATACTCAAAGATTGAAACCTACTTCACTAAATAACATTCATAACAATATTCACCTTCCAAAAGGAGGCAATGTCGCATTTCCTTCTCAAGACAATATCTTTCCATGGGGTTCAGCCTTTTGCCATTCGCCACTCATTCCAACTTGGTTCAATTCTTTTGCTAATTAGAGCAATATTGTTCGTTTGCTCCAGAGTTTTGTTCATGTTGGATTTGTATTGTACTTTAAATAAGCCATATATATATGTTCATCTTTCATAAATAATCAAGAAATTCAACAAGTATTTTAATATTACTTACGGATTAGCCGTTATGTTCTACTTATTTCTTGACGGGTTTCTTGAGAATAGGTGTATGTAAAACTATACAATTCTAATCACTATTCTAAAATATAGAGGAAATACCTTTGTTTGTCCTTTAAGTCGCAACAACATTAAATGTGTTTTATGGCTTCCTCTCGAATTGATGTAAATAAAAATAAAATGCAACATATTTAAGGGTTAATCTCATAGAAACAGAAATTGTATTTTTTTTATTTTTTTCCAAAAAAACCTTCAACTTTGTCTTTTTTTTTTTTCCAAAAAAAACATTCAACCTTTTAACTGCTTCCAAATAAACCTTCAATTTTTTTAGTTTTTCTCGATAAAAACTCACATTTTACAATTTTTTTGGAAAAAATGACTAAAATGATCATATTAGAAAAAATATAAAAAAATACAAGGTTTTTTCAGACAAAAAATAAATTAGAGGTTTAATCCGAAAAATCCACAAAATATAAAATATTTTATGAGATTAACCAAATATTCTCTTATAATTACATAAAACAAAAGGAAACATCATTCAAAAAACCTAACAAATTTAAATTACATAGAAGACAAGAAAACATTGTCGGATCTAACATTAATTAAACTAATTATTTTTTTGTTTTTATAGGGCATAATGTGAGTTTTTTATCTAAAGGTCACTGAACTGGTTATTATAGGTTAACAGAGACTAAAATAGCAGGTCCTATTCTAGTTTAGGGACTCATAAGGCTCGACAAAAGCTTTATGGACTCAACAGGTAAACCCTAGGAAGTTTGTAGGATATTTGTGTCATTTTCCCATTACAAAACATACAATTTATTATAAACCATTACAAAACATACAATTTATCATGTTTGTTTATCAAAAACACAATGGATCAAAGAAAACACACCATGTAAAGTTGAATCTTTTTTATATATTCAAATACACATTGCACATTTAATTGATTAAAATAGGGTAACCAAATTACATACATTAATTACCAATAATTTTTGCAAGAACACACACCATTTTTAAAGCAATGAAACCGACTTCGATCCCTAACAACAATCTCCCTGTCAACTATCTCTGATATCATCTTCAAAGCAACATGACAATCTTCACAAACACGTAAATTCTTCATCACCCTAATTGGCATCCCATATCCCGTTTTCATCAACCCAAACACAACCGCTAACTTTTCACTATGCCCTAATAAAAATCTAACCTTTTCACTCTCTTCAATATCAAGAAGAACAACCGAAGTATTTGGCACATACCCTCTTTTCTTCATTTCTTCCAATAACTCCTTCCATCTTTCTTGAATTGCATCATTTTCAGGATGAGTCTCATCTCCGGCCACAAACTCATGGACTTTTCCATTTATGGAAATTGAACTCGACCCTGGTGTTTTCTTCACTCCATTATCTCTCATCATCTTTCTCACTCTTGCCACCTCATCCCACCTTTTAGCTTCTGCATAAATGTTGGATAAAACAACATAGTATCCATCATTGAGTGGATCTAGTTCCAAAAGGTGTTTGATTGCTTCTTCCGCCATTTCTATGTTCTTGTGGACCCTACAACCACCTAACAAAGCTCCCCACACTACCCCGTTTGGTTTAATTGGCATATTTTTTATAAATTCATGAGCTTCTTTGAGTAAACCCGCTCTACTATAAAGATCAACCATGCAACCATAGTGTTCGATACTTGGAATTATTTTATAATCTTTAGTCATGTTAGTGAAAAGTTGAAGACCTTTTTTTACCATACCCATGTGGCTACAAGCATGTAAAAGTCCAATAAATGTGACCCCATTTGGTTTAATTTGTGATTGGATCATTTGGGAATATAATTTGAAAGCTTCTTCACCTTTTCCATTAATGGCTAAACCTTGGATCATGGCTGACCATGATACGATTGTTTTCTTTTTCATGTTGTTGAAAATAGTAAGAGCTGATTCTAGACATCCACATTTGATGTACATGTCTATTAAAGTGTTGCAAATGTGAATATTTGTTGTGAATCCTTTTTTGTTTAAAGAATCATGAATCTTTTTTCCTAAATCAAGTGCACCTATATCTGCACATGCTGCAAGAACAGCTACTAAAGTGACCTCGTTAGGAGATAACATTTTGTCTTCCATTTGGGTGAAAAGATCGATTGCTTCTTTGGGTTTTCCACATTGTACAAATCCCATGATCATTGATGTCCATGACCTCACGTTTCTCTCTGGCATTCTAGAAAAGAAACCATAGGCTTCATCTACGTTTCCCTTTTTCACCAACTGTGTAATCATTATGTTCCATGTGACAACATCTCGTTCAGACATTTTATCGAACAGTAAGCAGGCGTTATCAATTTCGCCAGAGACTGCGTATAAATGAACCATACTGTTCTGTAAAAACAAGTTTGATTGAAACCCTAGTTTCTCAATGAACCCATGGATAATCCTCCCGTATAATCCATACGAAAGTTTCGTACAAGCTTTTAGAAGGAAAGAAAAAGTAAAGGCATCCAGAGGAACATCGTGTTTGCATAATTGATAAAATAACCGAATCGCATCATTAGGTGAATCACTCTCGGCAAAAGCTTTCAGACATGAATTCCATATAACAGTCTCGGGCTTGTTAGAGAGCTGAATGATTTTTTGAGCGTAGGGGAAGGTGGGAGTTAGGGCACAAACAGAGGCAACACGGGAAATTGGTAGGATAGAGGGAGAGGTGTTGGTTTTGATGATTTGGGCGTGGATTTGTTTGAGCTCAAATGGTGATTTGAAAGCGTAGAGAATATCATTGTCGAGGGTTTGTGGTGTGGGTTTTAGAGAATTCGTTTGGTGGGCTTCAGGAACAGGTAACGAAGTTGAAGAGAGTACATATCCAGACATTTGATCTTCTGCTTGAAGTTTTAATCGCTGTTAGTCATCAGAGATTGGTGCTCCTATCGAGAGATCAAGGAGAAGGATATTATAGTTATTTCCTTCAATGTCTGCAACTTTTGTACATATTTCAAATACATAAGTTATAAAAAGATGGAGTAGATGTGTTATGTGGCAGAATAACTTTGAAATGTTCTGCCTTAGTTCGTTGAAGGTGAAATTGAGTAGAATAAGGCAATAAGCAATTGATGATGAGAATGAGATATGAATCAACAGGGTATGACTTATGCTGTTCTCTTTAAACAACTGAAGAAACAACCAGTTAAGACATATGAGGAAAAATAACAAACACCTGGCGTGCGTGTTATCCATATCCCAAAACAAAGAGTAAATGGTAAAAAAAAAAACATGAGGAAAGATAACAAACACCTGGTATGCAGGAAGAACATCAGACCAACAGGAACAGAAGCAACCATTTAGAGCCTTGGAGGGAACTGTTACTGACCTGAAAGGTGTTGGTGTTGCCGACGATGGGTTGCTGCGTATGCGAAGCGACTGTTGAGTGGTGTGTAATAGAAAGGGATGGGAGCCGTAGAAAGAGGTAAATGGCGAATGGCGAATGGCGATGAAAAAAAAAAAGAGGTTCGTTCAACTGCGAGGTGAACGGAAACCAGGAAGCTAAAATGTAATAATTTGTATATAAGCGGAAGATTATAAGTGTTAATTTGGATTAATAAAGTTTTAATTTTGTCTATATTAGGTTTTTAAGAGTTTTTTTTTTTTTTTTAATGAATATTACATAAATGGTAATAATGTTTTAATTTTGTCTACATTAGGTACTTAAGGTTTTTTTTTTTTTTTTTTTTTTTGCATATTAAACAAGCATGGTTGTTATAACTGTTTAAAGACGAGCCATAAGGTTTTAATTTTGTCCACATTAAATCCCTATTTTTAATATTTTTACAATTTATATTAGTATTTAGTTAGATTGTTTCATCTTTTCATTTTTAATCGTCAATGTGCCACAACCACGGTTACAATTGAAATATTACATAAAAATTATTTGTCATTTTTACAAAAAAAAAAAAAAAAAAAAAAAAAAAAAAAAAAAAAAAGATAATAATAATAATAATAAAGGAAAACTAATAATAATCAAAGTTTTAATGATTAAGGCTATGTTTGGCGCGCCACAGCCAGTTGATAAGTTAGTTTATTTTTCGATATTTTTTAAATAGCTATGTTTGGTCAACCAAAAAGCAGTTTATAAGCTAGCCTTCTAAAAATCTATTTAGATTAGTTTTTTAAAAGTTCTTTTTTTTTTTAATTTCCAAATATACCTCTTAATTAATTAAGAAAACATATTTTTAAATGCCCTTTTATGTCATTATATAATTTTCAGATAGCTTATAAGTCAATAACGTAGTCAGGGTCAAAGTAAAAGTGTAACATCTTAAAAACCAAAGATAAAAATTACATTATTATTATAATCAAAACATAGATGTAACTTGATTCAAACATTTAAAAAACATTTTTAATTATCACAATTATCAGAATTAAATCTCAAAATCACATATTGCAGAAAACACGGGTGTATGCGTTGTGATCAAGCCGAACCCTTCATTTCCGAACTGGAAGTACTTGAAACTAAAACCATAATAGTGAATTCTCCAAATACCACACATAACGCAAACATATTGTCAGACATATTTAGGTACCCAATATACCCTGTCGAGCATATCTGGATGCTAGACCTACCCTTATCAGGCATATTTGGGTGCCCGACCTACCCTTTCCAGGCATATTTGGGCGCCCAACCTACCCTTTAGTCTTATTCCAACCGATTACGGGGTCTATCACACCCCCTACCACTACCATATAAAATCATGCATATCTCACATAATCATCAAACAATACATACCACCTTAATAATTATCACAAAGACAATCATTAAGCTATATCAATACTAGTGGGCCGGCGTTGGTGTCTTCGACCCACAAATTCTGCAAAGGGAGACTTACCTCGAATGCAAAAGCTCATTGAAAGCAATCCTTAGCTACTGCCCTAACGACTTCCCAAGTTATCAATACAAAAATATCACCCAACTAGCAATTGATTTCTAAACCATGATCCATAATCCAAACTTGGGCTAATTTGACCATTTTAACCTCGGTCCAACAAGACTCACAACCAAGGCCCATTGGGCCCACTAAAGTCTAAAACCTGAATACCATCACATGTGACGAGGCTCGGATAATCCTTCAAGTAAAAGACTTGTCCCTACAACGGTTGGACTCAGACAAGAGCTGCGCAATAGGACCAAATCCAGCACTCTGAGATTATTCAACCTTGATCACATGTGACGTGACGTATTCACCTAATGGCTAACTCCCATCACTTAGAATCCCATAATGGACAAAGCAAGCAGCATTCGTACAAGGAAAAAATTTAACCATAACATACTCAACAATCATAATCCCACATCAAGAATTTGCACTAGCATGCGACATAAGCTCATAAACTCAGGCATAACCTAAACAGACTATCCTACTACTGTCTAATTAGCATTATCATGCAGCTCAAAGCACATAAAACAAACACATAAGGCATCCTCCCTAGATCCTTAGTCCTAATCTAGCATGCTGCTCTGCTAACTGATAAACATAACATAAACTTGTATGAGTATTTTGGGGTACTTACTTGAGCTCGGCTGATTGCATGCACCACACCCTTTTCTCTTATCAGAGTTCTTTTTATTTCTGAATTCTTTTCACTTTTCTAAAACTGTTTCCTTTCTAAAAACTCTTTTTACCAAAACTGTCTTTTCATTTTGAAAACTTTTAGACCATTCCCTTAGTTTGAGTTCAGACACACCCGAAAGTATGTTCGAATCCCTCAAACCAAGGCTTTGATACCAACTTGTAACATCCCAAAAATCCGAACCAAATTTTTTTTCTTTAAATCATTACTAAAACCATTTTTAGAAAAAACATATCATAACACAAAACATAATTCAGAGTATTAATTCCAAAAAAAAAAAGTTTCATTATCAGAGTAAAACATCCCAGGCTGACTAATCAATGGTGTGTGCCATGTGATCACCCCGAGCTCTTCCCCCGCTACCGGAAGTACCTGAAACCAAAACTGAAAATCGTAAGCACGAAGCTTAGTAAGTTCCCCTACCTACCACATACTATACAATCACCAAGCATACATACTGCATGTACTGGGCCACGCCCGCTATTTCGGGCCTCGCCAGCTACCTTGGGCCCCGCCGCTCCAGGCCCCGCCTGGCTTCGAGCCCCGCTCGGATACAAATCTTTTTCTTTTAGGCCCCGTCTGTCTTTGGCCCCCGCCCACTAACCACATAATATAATTAGCATATAACACGTAAATGAACATACCCTACTGTAATCTTGTCCTTAGGCCTCGCCTGTCTTGGGCCTCGCCCCTGTCCTGTCACTAGTGAGTCATGGAACCCCGTCCAAGCTCCTATGGTAAGTGAGATACGGGCCACACCCACACTCACTCCATTCCTATCTCGGGCCTCGCCCATGCTCTGCTACTAATAAGATATGGAACACCGTCCATACTCTCCTATTGGTGAGATACGGGACCTCGCCCACACTCACCTTCCTACCAGACACATACATGCACCACACAGACAACAAGTATACTATAACATGCAAACCATTCCTTGGGCACCCGCCCAACATCGGACCTTGGTTCGGAATATCATACTAGAAAACAGTGCCTAGGGCTAACCCCTGGGTCTTCCTACTCATAACTACATGGGTCGGCATTGTGGTCTTAGACCCATTCACACAAAAGGGAAACTCACCTGCACTGCTGAACTTGCTGATAACCCTCTGGTTGTTGCCCGATAAGTCTCTGAACCGCTGCTCCACTAGCTCCCCGAGCTATCAATATCAATATCATATAACACTTAGTCCCAAACTGAACTCTTAGAAGCCGTCTAAGTCCACTCTTGCCAAAGTTAAATTCCTGGTTAAAGTCAACCTTCTCGACTGACTCTACTCGCCGAGTCGCCCCAAGACTCGTCGAGTCCATGAATTCTGAAACTCCCATAATACGACTCAACTCGCCGAGTCTCCCCAAGATTCGTCGAGTTCAACGATCTCTGAGTCCCATCCTGCCCAACTCACTGAGTCTCCACTCAACTCACCGATCTAAGCCTTAACCAGAAGGGGTTAGTGCTTCGTGACCTGACTCGCCGAGTCCAAGAACAAACTCGCCGAGTCCATGACAATCTTCAACAGACTCGTCTGTTCTTCCAACTCTTCGAGTCCATGCCCATCTTCATCCAACTCGCCGAGTTCACCCATGTGACTCGCTGAGTCACTTCAGTTCTTAATCCATACAGTGGCTTTTCGAGCCATGCAGGGGCTCCAACTCATAGATCCACCCTTCCCAAGTCTATTCCTCATGTAAAGTTGCAAACTTTACGTGAAACCAAAGAGATATGGGCTTAAAACACTGTAGGGCTAGGTTTTGTGACCAAGGGGCTTCACCAACAACTTATTAGCATAAACTTTATGGATTTATGGATCCTTAATAGCCTAGATCTGAGGTAGCAACCTCAGATCTACTCCAAACTTGGAATAAACCTCCTCCATACTCAAAAATGCCCAAAACTCAACCATAAGATAGATCTAAATGCAATAGGGTCAGCTTATTACCTCAAGGGATCTGAAAAGTCACACCAACTCTGGATCTAAAGCCAATCCTTTAATCACCAAAGGTTCCCTTCCTCTTTCTTCCTTCAAATCACCCAAAATGGCAAGAATGCTTGAATGTGCAAAAATGGAGACTTAGGGTTTCCCAATCCATACCGGCCTCGCCGAGTCCACTCTCTGACTCGTCAAGTTGGTCACTTACTCTTCGACCCGGATCTCGCTCGAACTCAGCGAGTTACACCCTGGACTCGACGAGTTGACCCCTTTGACCTAGGGTTTTCTTTTCCTTTCATGGTCTTTCTGATTATGGGTGTTACAAACTGGATCGCGACCAAAGAGGAGGTATGTTGGGCGTACCTTTAGTTACGTGGGGCGTAACCGCTGATCCTCCAAACTCAATTTATGACTTAACCGATTAAGCACTTAGCATCTAAACTTCAGGGAACCTCCAACTAAATCTCTTAATGCATAAAGTCGACACCTTTATGCATTTGCATGACACAAAGGGACCCAATAACCATTCTAATCCATTAAAACCCAATCAAGAACATGCATGGACGTTATCTAAGCATCAAGAAAACATTTTTATAAACTTACAACCTTAGATCTACTAAGAGTGTCAACTCCAAGCTTCTGGAGTGGTCTCCAACCACTAGATCTTGCTCATGAGGTCAAAATGGAACCAAAACCCACATAATCTTAGATCAATTTCTAATGATCAAGCTAATTACTACTAGAAAAACAGCCTTTTACAACGCTCATTGCGCGTCGTAAAAGGCTTAGACGACGCGCAAATGCGCGTCAAGGAAGGCCCTGTCATAAAGAGAGATGACGCGCTTTTGCGCGTCGTCTATAGACGACGCGCATTTACGACACGTATTTACGATGTGCAATTACGACGCGCATTTACGACACGCAATGCGTATCAAGGAAGGCCCTGTCATAAAGGAAGACGACACTCGTTTGCGTGTCTTAACCTTACGACGCGCGTGTTAATGACACGCAATACGTATCAAGAAAGCCCCTGTCAAGAAAGGCCATGTCATAAATGAAGATGACACACACTTTTGCATATCATAATTTTAAATATTTAAAAAAATATATTATTTTTAGGTTTAGTTATTTTCAAATTAAATTTGTATTTAATGTTTCATAATAGAAAATAAAATATCATATACAAAAAATAGAATCCATTGCATAAATTTAATGTCATACAATTCTATTTCTTACAATATATAAATTTGCATCTAATCTACTATGTACATCAAATTCCAACTAAGTAAAGTTGTATCTTGCCTTTCATAATTCTTTAAGACTAATGCTCCAAACAACTGATTATATGGATAAGCAGTTGCACATTGGCCCATCTCACTCAATAATGACTTAGCCAAATTCAACTCCAAGTCTTTACTGCATCTTGCTGATAATGCTGCAAGATTTAAATAAAGTGGCTTCATATTCCTTTCTTCCATCAACTTTACCTGATGCACAAAATACGCAAAAACAAAAAAAAACACACAAACATGATTAATGACTAATACAATGCGTGCAGAAATCCTAACTAAATTTGAGTATGTTGTTAGAAATTAGATTGTGAAGGACATATAATGATGTCTAGGCCACTTTGTTCAAAATACTTACATGAACATCAGTAGTGGTGTTTTGGTCTTTGTGTTTTCCAAAACGAGAAACCAATTGATGATTTAGATGAGTTCCAAGTGATGCTTGATGGAAAAATGATGCCCACTGGCTTTCTGATAGAACACTACTAAAAGATGACAACATGGACAATGCCTTGTTTGAAGGTGAAAGTGTATACAACATAGCAAGCAACTGTAAAACCTATGATGTCATTATCAATGCTCAAAAACAAACATAATTAGAATGTGGAATTTTGTTGTAGTGAAACCATTGAATTCCAACAATCATCAATATATAATATGGCATTATGGCATATATGCAAAACATCATAGAGGTGTGTCAAACCTAAGTTCTATACGGTTGAAATATCACCAAAGACCGCTTAAAGCATTTGTCAATTCTCAATTCATGAACCAATAAACTTCCTTTGATTTGATTTTTCAAAGAAGAAATGAAAACAATGGAAGGACAAACGTATAACCTTTTGAAAGAGCACAGGAACCTCACGACAAAGTATAAAGGATAACTTCAATCCATACACAATTGTTGTTATGGGAATCATCAACATGTCACAACCATCATGCCTAGAAAAAACAACATCAAAAGAGATGGAGCATTAGTGTAATCAAAAGACATGCAACTTTTCAAAAGAAATATAAAATTCATTTAGCAGCTTTTTCACAAATCAAATTGAGAAGTATAAACTAAAACGAGGAAGTTTTACCTTTGTCTTGCTCTGTTGGGAGCTCCATTACGACCCTTGTCCTGCTTGCTTCTCTTATGACCCCTGAAGTCCAAAGTCGATTCATGAAGTCCAAAATCGATTTCAAGAATGGAACTGTAAAGATGAACAGATGGGGTGATTAAAGGCAATGATAATTTTTTACTGAATGTTTAAATACTCTCCTAGTCCTAAGGGAATAAACCTCAAAATAGGTACCACTGGGACCACAACCCGGCTGGAAATATTCCCCATGATTACACCAGTACAACAAAATTAGTGCTAAGGTCATAACCACCTGAAGGAATAACGGAAACAGATGGATAAAGCAAAAAAAGGGAAACAGACACTTCACCACACTCCAAAGCTGCTTTATTATTTATTGACCTTTCTACCCCTCCTGCTGTAAACTAGAAGTTCTTGAGGCTTATCACATATCATTTAAGAATTCACAACCTGGCTTGGCCTTGTATGCCAAACCTACCTTTACCTTGAGTTACCAACAAATTTCCTACTAATGTTACAGATAGCATAGTCTTTAACTTTTGCACCAAGTAGAATCACAAAGTGAAATACATTTTGCTGTAATTGCAAGAACAGATAACATATATATCATCTTACAAAGTGAAAGCATCAAAACTTTTATCATTATGTCTAGTGAACAAGTTAGAAGACATTGGTCCAACAAAGAACTGATATGCCATCAGATATATATAGTCTGTTACTATGACTTCGACAAATATTTGAACCATGAATCGCTGGTTTTCATTCCTCTTCTAGACGAATCCCTATAATACCTAATAAATAAGCGATATCAACTATGAAGCACCAACATGCAGACCCTTGAATTTGCAAGCATCAGAAAGCATAGAATGAATTTACTTATTTCTGTTGGAAATATTTTTGGCTTCTTCCAAGCTGTCGGCCTGAAAAATTAAAAGGTGAAATTACAAAATTAGCCCTCAAGAGAATGAATTATGAACATGATCAGTTAAATAAGTATTATATATAGAAAGTATTAACAGACCTGCATGCAAATAATAACTGAAATTACAAAATTAGCCCTCATTTGGAACATGTGTTATATGGCATGTCATGCCCTAAACAAAAACAACATTACCTGCAACTATTCTGTGATTTTGATTCTTCTCTACAAAGTAACTACTGAGAACGACATGTTCTGGAAATCTCACCCCGCATCATGTCTATTGGGGTGTGGTCAAGTTGATTGATATACATTCACAATTGCATAAGACTTTATAAATTCATTTACCCATAAATCCCGTTAAGATCTATATGTTTCAGTAAACTTGAACTAGTGTTGTTAAGTAACTATACATTTGGTAATGAGACTCTCTTATCTGTTGGATTTGATGGCTATTTGGTTACTTTTTCCTGTTTTTACATCTTTAGATGTAAAAACTGCATGCAAAAGATTGAAGATTCTACATCAGTTCAATCATGTCTATGAGTGATAGAGGTAAAATTTTGATCATGTGTTGTGTTGTGCATCAAGGGGCACTAAATCATATGCTTATTATTGTGATCTTTGTTCTTTGAGCTTACTAGGTGGTGTGTTGTCCTTTTATTTTCCTTAGCTATTAAGGAGAATTTGTAGGAGGATGTTTCTTTATGATAGATACTTCTGACTTGTAAACATTACAACAGCAAGTGTATCCAATTCCAATAAGCTCCATACTAACTCCAGGAATAGTAGTAATAGTAAAAAATGGAATAAATAATAAACATAGAAGTAATATGGGTAAGCAAGATGTATACTACTCTACTACCCTAATTTGGGATTGTTTTACTTTGTATCAATCATATTATTATTTTTTTGAAAGAATTTGCTGATAATCTATCTAGTGAATGTAGCATTAGACATATTCTGCTTCTAGGTTAATCTTCGTTCTTGTAATCTAGCTTTGAAAATTAACTCTCCAGGAATTTTTTACTGCAATAGGAATGAGGGTGATTAACTAAATTTATTAATAAAGAATAGTTTACTTCTATCCCCTGATCCTCTTTAATTTTCTCTCTGTCTCTCTATTTTTCTTCCATTCTGGTTTTTGAAGCTTAGGAATGCAGTAGCTTTCTTTATATGTGCATATTAGATACAAAGGTGTTTTTTTAATCAGTATTTTGGGCTGTATTTATCCAAGTCTAGGTAATTAGCAGAGTGAACATATATGGTGCTATGTTTTCCTTATAAGTTGGTGGCATGAGTTAGTTAGCAGTTAGTGGTAAAAATACTGCTAAAAATGATTAGTATATAAGTCAGTGGTGGAAAAAGCATCATTATGTCTTCAAAGGAGGAAGGTTTCTGCAATTTCTCATAAAGAGAGATATTAGCTGTGATCAGAGACATTAACACTAAGTACATACATAGTGGTTCTTTACTCTTGCTAATGGAAACTGCCATGTAGCAATGTGAGATTTAGGTTAAATATTTAGTATGATGGTGTAGCTGGAGTCTTGATGCATGGATAGAATTAGACAAGAGAAGAGTGGGTGTTTTCAACTTATTTATAGTATTTATTTATTCATGTCCAATCTCTTGAAAGGCATGCAATTGTCCTTTTGTGTGATGTTTTTTTGTTCAGGGATTAACACTTGAATGTTTGATTAGGTCTTAGCATACTTGTGGCTTGTGTTTGTTGGTTAGTTTTTGAAGTGTTGATGGTAATTAGACTGTTATATGGCATCTTAATATGCTTCTGTTGTAATGTTTGTTTCTGACATTCATGTTGCAGGTATTTGGTTTCCTAGTTGTCCTGGGCGGATTGGCGTAAGCGTAACAGAAATATTGAAATGTAGTCTCACCTTTTTCTTATCTTGTTTTCTTTTTTCATGATATATCCCTGTTTTTTTCTAGAATCTCAAACCCTTCTTCACACCCATATCTTGAACTATACAGCTTCAGGTACTCAATGTCCTATCAAACAACAAAAACAAACAATTCACTGTCACTGTAGGAACATCTGGTAATTCTTTCTTAGCTTCCCAACTGCTGTTGAATGATTGAACGTACCTACCATCATGTTATCATGCATCATCAAATGAAATGCATTCACCTGAATCACTACAACCTTTAACATATAAACTAAAAAATAATGAAGATTACAGTGACAACAGACTCACTAACCGTGGCAATTTCTTTAGCATGAATTGGACGCGATCAGCGAACAGTCATTGGCTCCTCGAATTCAGTGAATTGTGAACCAACTGTTATACTAACCACACACACACACACACACACACATATATATATATATATATATATATATATATATATATATATATATATATATATATGGTTGCCCTGTTATACAAAAATTACTTACAAGCCTCAAAGTCTCATAAAAACATGCTTCTGATTACATATCAGGAAGTAGTTTTTAGAAAATTACCTTTCTACTGTCTCATTTGAATGTGTAGGCACAATCTTTGAGGCTTTCTTGATTAAATGCACCGACCGTTATGCATCCAAAACCATCTCATACTCACAGTTTTCATCTTTGATCTTTCTCTTTGCTACTTTTGAAGATGCCTAACATATCACTCATCAACTCACCAATATGTAGTTGAATCTTCAACCCATTTGTAGGCCATAACATAACCAAAACAAGAGTAACCACAAATAACATGATATACTTGAGTTTTTAAGCAAACTAAACTAATTAATTATTAATACATGAGAAAATCACAAAAACAAACAAAAAATTATATATGGTTACCATATGTAAATGAAGATCCGTGTAGGAAGAAATCACAGATGAGTTGACACGTAATCACAGTCAAAGATCAAATTTTTCTCCAAATGCTGAAAGAATATTACCTCATTTAAAAAGCCCTTCTTCCTTAAAAACAGGAAGAGACTCTCTTGTAAGCATAGACTAATCCACAACTAAGTAATGGACTTTGTACAGGAGCTTTTGATTTCTTAGGCATCATCAGTTTCTCCACCAATTTCCACATAACTGTCAGCTGATGGCATAAATTAGTGATCCATTGAGAAGTTACACAGATCCTGCTTTTGTTTCATTGTTATAGATAAACTTAATTTTGTTCAAATGCACAAAAATTCTACTCTCATATGGAATGGATGTAGTGCATTCAAAAACGATATAAACAAGAAAACGTAATAGAAATATGTGGCAATTAAAAGCAATACCAAAAGTGAAGACAATGAAGGAACGGACTGGCAACACAGAAGAAGCAATCTCCTTCACCGAAAAGGAGGTTGAAGGCACTGCTTCGGATTGCGACTCCGTATAAACTTTCCTAGCTCTTCCCGACCGCCCAGACGAAGCCGAAGCATTTTTTATTCCAAATGTTTGGAATTTCAAATGTCGCCGACCTGAACTCACATACTGCAATGACGAAGAAAAAAAATAGCCGCCTGCAAAGCAGCACATAGCCACCTGTGTTTGCGGTTGGTTTTGGATGAGAGCAGATGGAGAGAGTTGAACCACAATACATGAGAGAGTCGATCCCAAATCTGACTTGCAACCTTCGATTTCTGATGGTTCTAGGGTTTTTATACAAATGGTGGTGTTATTAACCAACGATGTTGGTGTGAAAGAGGGGTGGTGATCTTGCGGTATGTTGTGTCGGTGGTATATTGGGGCTTTATTGGAGACAGTGGTGAACCAGAGAGAAGACGAAGGGTGATGGTTGGTTGTCGAGCAGTACGGGGTAGAGAGATAGTAAATCAGGAGAAGTTAAGCTTAAAATAAAATAAAACCCTAGCACATCCTAGATAGAAGGAAGATGGCGATGGCTTAGGGTTTGCACAGAGAATAGAGGGAGAGAATGGAAGGAGATCAAGAGGATAGAGTGCAGAAGCGGGAACCTAAATTTTTTAGAAGTTTAGAGATTTTTCATTTTTCCCCCTTAAAAACGCGCTTCTAATTAAAAAATTATAAAGCGACATTTGTAAATGACACACAGATTTAACATAAGTGTCCTCCGTGTTTGTAATTTTTCTTTTTTGAACATTAATTTTAGGGCACGCACAAATGCGTGCCCTTTATCCTTCAAATTTTGCATATCTGACATTATTTTTTAGGGTACGCACGAATGCGCGTCCTCTATCAGCGCGTGTCATTGTTTGCGCGTCATTAAAGGGCTGTTTTCTAGTAAGAACTTTTTACCTTCAATGAGCTGAAAATGTAGCAAAGAATCCAGATCCACAAGCCTTTCCTTGAACCACCACCTTGTACCAAGCCACCACTTATTGAATACACTAGAAT